AGTCTCCAAAATACTCAGCTAAAATCCAGCCATGCCATCCCCCCAAGGTGCCTGGGTAGAAATACACATTGATTATTAATGCTTAGTAACGTAGGTTTGGGGGAAAGAATAAAATATTCTGCTTGCCAGAAAGGGTTGAGAAGGAAGCCTGGAAATTCCCTTTCAGCGAAATAGGATGAAGTTTATTCTCTCTTGAAGCTGCTAATTGAAAGTAATATTAAAATGAAATAAGTTAGGGCAGACACTTGGATGTTAAGTGCATTCCCTGCCCCGGTCCCTTCCTTAACCAGCATTTGCATCTTCTGCTCTTAGAACTGAGACCCAGGGAGGTTCAGATCATTGAATTTCTCATTATAAACTCATTAAAATACTGGTTTTACAGTTACCTCGAGCCCAGCCATTCCTCAGCAAACAATCAAACGGAGCTGTGAGATGGGAAGACAAGAGCATTTCAATCCATTCCCACAGCACAGGAGGGAGACACCCAAACCTGGTGTTTTGGGGTTCCCTGGGCACGGCCTCGTGGCCAATTCATCCTTCCCAAAACCAGCCCTGGGGCCACTGAAGAGCCAAGGGAAGAGTCCCAGCTCCCAGGAGAGGCTGACAACAACATTGGGGAGCACAAAATCCAACCTGGGCTCCTGGATCCGGCACGCGGCGTTCCCAGTGCCACACGCGCTCCCGGGGTTTGGCACCGGACACGGCCCAGATCCGTGTGAGTGGAAGGGATGAAATTCCAACAGGAGATTTCTGAGCTAAGAGTTCAATTCTCCCTCCTCCTCCTCCTCCTCTCTCTCCCCACCAAGTGCCAGCGATGTCTCAACACCCCGACTGCCTTTCCAAGGAAGTAGCTCTGCTCCTTTCTGGGCCAAATTACCATGGCAAGAAATCCCCACGTAGATTCATCTCCAACAGAAAAACATTCAGACAGCAAACATTTCCTCCCTACAACCTGAAAACAGCCAAATATCACCAGATTCCTTTCCTGCCATCAAAGAAACCCTGTCCAGAGACAGCTCTTAACTAAAACCATTTGCCCATAAAGCAAATGTGCTCCCAAGGAGTGACAGAAATACTCGGTGCACCCCATGAAGCTGGCCGTGTCTGAACACACTTCACCCCCAGGAAGGCTGGAGAACACAGCAAGAACTTCCATTTCTAATGATTTATTTTACTCCTGCCTTCACTACATCAGGATGCTCACCTCTTGCTCATCCTGACTGTCAATATTGTCTTCCTGCAGCTTTTAAGCAAAAAAAACCCAACCCCACGGTAACTGTTGTCAGGCCATGTCATGTCATGACCACTGAGGCTTCATAAATAACACTTGATATAAATAGATTTTGCAGTAACATATAAACCATCAGCTCCAATGGAAGTAGAAGGCTTGTGTGCAGCCATCTGCATTTTCTCCTGGAAGGATAAACACATAAAGAAGTGTTTGAAAGCAAAATAAATCTACTGAAGAAATGGCCCTCTAGAAACTTCTGGGGCTTGAGATTTCTTAGGTGGCTCACACAAAGACATTGACAGGAGCAGCTACAGCAGAGCAAGATCTTCTCAGGAAGAAATACTTCCCTGGGAGGGAGGAATCCATACCGACAATGCCTGGAGTTTCACCCATTTTCCTTTCAATGGTCTCCAATCAACTTCCACACCACAACAAAGCCAAGTCACAGCCCCTCGGGACACTCCACGTGCTGAGGAAATTGGCAGATTTGGCTACACCAGGAAGAAATAAACCCCCAAACATACTGACAGGATCAAAGATAAAAAACTAGGTTTAATTTTAAAGACATTTGAAATAGGAATTGCATATAAATTCAGCAGTTTGTACATTTTTTTAGAGGTTCTTCTAAACAAATGTGGGGGAAATACACAAAGTTTTCTGTTAGGGAACAGCCAAGCCTCAAACACTGATCATTATTTCAAGCTTCCCCTGAGGAAGTCTCCAACCAAATAATATACCAACAGAGAAATGATTTCTCTTTCTCCACTGGAATTCAGCTCCTTGGTAGCTGACATCTCAAGACAGAAATTCTCATATTAGCAAGGTTTAATTACACCCACAGACCAATATGGACTTAGGGAGGTACACTCAGGTCTGCCTGTGCTCAGGGAGTGCAAAGAGAACAGAAATACCCCGAGCAGATGTGGCTGCCACAGAAACACAAAGCTTTGGTGGGCTGACCCCTGGCATCCCTCTGGGGGGGTGAAGGATGGCAGCTGCTTAAAATTGCTGCTGTCACCCAAGGAAACACCCACCACCCTGCAGCCCAAATCCTCCCACCGCTGCTGGAGAAGCTGCTTTTCCTTCCCATTCGTTTCCATGCTGAAAATGCTGAAGGAGCAACAGGCCTGAGCTCTGAGAACCTGATTCCCCATCCTGCTCCTTCCATCTGCTGTGCTTCCAGAGAGTTCAGCAAAGCTGAGCCTGGCTCAGGGCAGGGCTTAAAACTGGGCTGAGATCTTAAACCACTCGAATTCAGCCTGTTTAAGGCAAAGCAGGAGCACAACCCACCCCTGAGAACCTCAGCACCACCTCCTCTTGTCCCCAGGGCTCTGACAAGACATTTTCAAGTGGTCTCCACATCCTGACTAATCCAAAGGCTTGTTTAAATCCATGATAAAAATCTCAGGGCTTGTTTAACCTCCTTGCTAGCCCAAGGTTGAATTTGTTTCAGTGCATCTCCATGTTAACACTGCTCTCATTTCAAGCTATCTGGATCGTGACTGGGAGCTATGAGCAGGGGTGCAAGAGCTCATCAGCTAATCCAATTGTTCTACATATCTCAAGGATTATTTTCCAGTTTGCTAACCAGAGCTACTTGTTGCAATAATCCTTTATCTACACTGAAATCACCTGATAGACCAAGGTGTGCAAGTCAGCCTGGCTCTGGCACTGTGCAGCCCTTCAGCATTTGTTTTGCTTCTCCACTTCTTTTTACAGCCTGCATCAAACTCCACCTGCCAGGAAAAACACCACCAAAACCAGCTCCTTTTTTTAAGCCTGAACTAGGTAATTTAAAGCCTGCTCAATCCTGGCAGTACTATGCTGCAGTGAGGTATTATATTATTTTATATTATATTGAGATATATTATATTAAGCTCCTTGTGAATACAGAGCATTTGGTGTTTTTATTGAAAAATAAAGCTCATCAGCAACAGGGATGATACCTAGCCCTCAAACTCACACCAAGAGTCAGCTGCATGTGGGAAATGACAAGGCAGAAAAAATTAACAGGCCAGGTCTTTACCTTGTTTTAAAACACCTCAGGGGATTTCCCTTCTCTGCCAGAATCTTGCACCGGTTCTGTGCTGCCTTTGGGGTCAGCCCTGCCTGCACTCACCTGGCCAGGAGAGCCCCAAAACTGCCTCAAGGGCTGCTCTTCCCTGCGAACAAAATGACAATGACAGCTCCAAAATGAAGGGATGGGAATAAAACTGTAAAGCCTCATTCCCAGCTTTTAGGAAAAAAAGAAGGCAAAAGTCACTAATAACAGGAATATATAATAGTGGTTAGGCCTTATTCTGGGAAATCTAATAGGCTTGCAACAAGCTTTGTTCGGGCATTTTTCTGCGCTACCTACATCACTTCTTTTTACCCAAAATGTACCTTAAAACAAAAGAAAACCACACACGATATCGAACGGGACTAGCAAGTTAAAACCAGAAAATTGAAATATTTACTGCCTCGATGTGCACTGGAAAAAAAAAAAATAATAAGGCAAATAAATAATTTTAAAAGCGGGGGGGGAAATAGCTTTAAAGCGTATCACGAGAACGGGATCAGGGAAGAGCGAGGCCACCCCTTCAGGACCAGGGAAGAATTAACCTGCATTTCTCCATCCCATCTGCAAGCTTATGGCTCTGCCACCCATTTTGTTTCAGATTAAAGGAAAAATATATCTGTATAAAAAAAATATAATAAAAATATAATAAAAAATAATGACCTCAGCAGCACCGAGGGAAGACCCCACCCTCAGGGCTCGATGGCCAGCCGGTGCTGCTCGCCGGGCAGGTGACCCTGCCGCAGGTGCCACCCCGGGCATCCCCCCGAGCCCCTTCCCCAGCCCCTGCAGACCATGCCGAGCCTGAAAACGCCAGCGCGGAGCACAGGGAAGGGTTTATTTAACCCCCAAATGCGAAATAAAAGGGAGAGGAGGAGCGGAGAGGTGCGGACGGCGCGGGAGCC